GAAATTCATTTTGATCTCATTAATTGCGCCATAATCTGGGTTCTGTTTCTATCAGTGCTGTAAAATCCATGCATTTTAACTCTCCTAGTGAATGCGAAATTACGGTATGCGAAAAGTGGGGTGCTAAGGGGAGACACTGTCCTTTTTACCGATGCTTATGAAAGCTCCTTATCAAACGGGTATTAAGTTGTTTTTTGTGCTTTTGTTAAAATAGTATGGGCATACCTTGCAACTGAATACTAATCACTGGAATAAGTTTTTTTGCTATATTAAGCGTTCTCCTCACCTGAAACTTTCCTCTTACCAAATGCTACTTCTAATTCCTCTGCTCATTATGCGACTGCTATGCCTCAAAAGTCAGCCCTACGTTTTTGGTTTCTTCTTTCGCACCTTTTGCTCAATTCCAATGATTCTTCAAAAGGCGAATTATTTTGTTGTCTGCCGCTCCTCTTATTTGAGGTACTTAGGTGTATGTTAGTTATTTTAGGGATGAGGTGATGAGAAGATGCCCTTGGTGTGCGCGTTAGTGGCAGCTCTTGCGCATTCTTTCCAATGCACACCTCTCAATGCTCTCCATCGTCCGATTTGATTCGACGCTCCATATTGGCTCCCCTTTTGGACCTTTTAGGAACCTTCGTCCTCGTAGTATTCTTATCAGCCACCAATTGTACATCTGATGCATGCCTTTCGTTTTTGTTGTTCCACCTTTATTTCGTTTTTGCATGGTGAAAATGAGCCCAGCTCGTGGCAAAGATAACTTCAAAGCTATTCAATTTATGCAATCCACTGCCGTACTTGTGGGATTTCGGAACGCGGTTTTCGTACTAGTGCTTAATTTACAATTTCTTTTATTAATCTACTCTCATAAATACTTCGCTGTGGTCACAGAGGTTTTAGGTTTACGTATTACCCCTCTTTCCTTAATATTTTTTGGTGGCCTTCCTCGGAGTGCTGCCCTAATGGCCTACTTTGGTGAGGTGGTTTTGCAAACAAATGTGCTTTAACTAATTAATTAATTCTTCTAACTATTGGTATCTAACGCTCAAACATTGTTTGTTACACCTCTTAGTTTTTTCATCCTTGACAGAGGTGTCTGTTTGCCTTTTTAAAGCTCGTCATGCTTTAAAAGCGCCACTGTCTTATACTCCCTATTTTAATATTAAGCGTAACTTCGTTCAGGTTGGTTAGGCTGAAACCGTAGTTGATTTTGCAGTATGTATGACATCCTCTTTGGGGGTGCTTTTGAAGCCCTCAGTCTTAATCTTAAGGCAACTTATTGGCATTAGACTTAGACCGAAGGAACTCGACACCGTTTTTTAGTTTTCTCTCATGTCATCATGATTGGCTGTCCTCCTTATTTTGATGTCATTCATGTTGTCTGGTGCTCAGTTAGAGTTAACGTAGTTTTGTGGCACATTTCGGAAATACACGGTAGATGTTTCTTCTCCAATGCCACATTCTCCTTGTCTCTCATCCAGCGCAAACTGTACACGTAGGCGTGAGATCAGTGTTTCCATGCCTGATCACACATGCCTCTCAATTTCCTACTGGTGATATCCATCGTACTTTCAGTCAAGGGAAATGAGTGTTAAATGCACTTTATGACAATGCTGTTCCATCCTTTTTTGAACAGTCTGATTTTCAAAGAAGAAACTTCAATTTAGTTTTGTAAAATATGGATCATCTTGCTTCAGCTTGTTTGCAAGTCCAAAAACGCTGCTGTGGAACAATCTGCGGCTGTCTACACCTTTCATTATCTCCATACCTTGAATTAACCCTTCCCGCCTCCACTCCCATTCACTCCACACAGAAATAGAAGTGGCAATAAATTATTACATCTTATTCCCGTTGCAAAAGAGCACGTCCCATCGATTTATTCGCATCCTACACCAATCATAAGTTTATTATTGCTTGTTTATTTTTGACATTTTATTAGCCCCAGGTTCCAAACATAAACCTCTCCCATAAAAACGCCAATAGCAGCTCGAATAAGTGCTTATCAATTGGAAATGGAATCTGGGGTGCTGCAGGTTTCCTGAATTTTATGCCGGAAACTCCACAATTTGCTTGTTCCACACCGGAATGCCTGACTCGAGTTCTTTCGCAGTATCATCTAGAATTCAAGTAATAATGAATTTTCAGCTAACGATCCTTAATTTTCCTCTCTGATTTGCCCTAATCAGCGGCGTTTTGCAGCATTTACACTTGTCTTGTATGTTAGTGTTTTTCTGTGTATTTCACCTAAAATTAGTCTACCTTCCCTATGCTTCAGGGTATCCTCTATGCAGACTGCTAATTGGCTCTTAGATATTATCTCACTACCAGTTGTATTCATAGATGGCCTTTTTTAAATAGCAAAGGAAAATAAGCGATTCATTTTAATATGCTTATCAAGTGTTGCTGAGCCCTCAAAGGAAACTTGATCCCCACGCCTCCTCATATTCCTTTATTCTAATGTGTCAGCAAATGCATTTGCAACGTTTGACTAAACAGAAAAAAATGTATTTTGCCAGTTCTTTTATGAAAAAATTTCGCATAACTCGTGCTCTATTTTACGCCTTTCCTTGTGGTCCTAGACTCAAGCAAAAAGGTCAGTGTTAACTGTGTTGCGATGATAGTAAAAGTGCTAACGAATAGCAATGAGGAAAACTCGTCATATTTTTTGCGGTAAAGTTTGATTTAAATGATGTTGCTTTTTTCGCCAAACCGGTGTCTTTCCAAATAAGGAAAGTAAGCACTGTAGGGCTCCATTGTGGTCTCGTTCCTCTCTTTCCTTTTCGTCCTATTTCGTTTTGACGGGAGAAAGTCATATTGTTACCATGGTTTTTTTGATGTCGTCGTGTAGAGATCTAACGTTTACTTCAGCGGCTTAAATCCCCTCCCTCAATATTTCAACTATTTCATTGTCTAGTGCACTTTTTAGTCAAGTGATTCATTATACCAGGATATTTCAAGTTTTGCTTAAGGTCTTGAAGCGAAAACGGCTTTCGTTGGTTTTGGGGTCCTTGCCCTTCACCATTGGTGATATCTGTGTTAGTGCAGTTCGAGTATCACTAGTTCGAATAACAGCTTTACAATGGCAGTTCTCTTTCGTGCATTTGAGAGCATGCAAATCCGCCTTGAAAACTGGCGACTTGCATACATGCGTCTAGACACTGAATACCGCCTTACAGTGTCTAATGATTGCCACATCGAAACTTACTTATTGTTCCTTCCCTTTAGCCGATTGGCGCAATCAGTAGGCATTAACGAATCCAACTTGGGTACACTGCTATTTCACTTTCTTGTGTTCTTTCATTGTGTTGAATTTTTAGTCGTAGCTTTTGTGACCTGCGGATTCCAAAATTAGTTATGATATTGGACCCACGCTTGCCTATTGCACAGGCTCAAAGGCCTCGGGCATGCCACTGAACTTGGGTTGTTTTGTGTCAGGCGAAAGGTGGCTGAATGATGAAATTTGGCTCGCCTGTCGACTAAACATCCGGCTTGCAGTCGCTGTACCGGTTCAACCACTTTTAAGTCGTATTTTCCAAATTTACATGCTGAAACACTAAAATTATCGAAATTTGTGTTTTTCTCCTCTCCCATGGTGACAACTCATGTCACTAATGCCGTGGGTGCCAGTCAACTTATCAAACAGAAACCATCTTGCAGGACACCTAACCACGATTAATGATCATGCTTCTCTCTCTCCTTGCATGACTTGCAATACAAGCGTGAACTACGTTGTTTTCCAACATCCACTCACCTAGGAACTTAAGTGACTTGTAGGTTTTTATCTGCTAGACGCGATTCGCTCCTGGTCAGACACTATCTGAGCCCGTTGAAATCGTTAAAGTGTATTGGCTATGAGCCTCCTATCAATCTAAAGGCGATTTGGGAAATTTCTCTAGAGGCATACTGGTATGAGTGAGGTTCAGTTCAAACAATAACCAAGATGACTTTTTTGGAGATCAAACAAATAATTGAATTTGTTGGCAGTACTCGATGCTGATGTTAGGGCTAAAATAGATCCCATTCATAGACTTTGTTTTTTATCGTGTTTAAAGTAAATGTTTTTAAATTTTCATTTTGTTTAATCAGACACTACTTTGCATTGGTTATTGTCGACCCAACTCAGTTTCAGTAGACGTTTGTCCAATTAGCATAATGTCAGCGCCCGTTTGTCCGACCTTGCAGTTTGGCTGTCTGTCACCTGCAACAATGTAAAGTTTGGTAGCGATGCGCCGAATTTCAGTTCCCACCCTTACTTCGTTTGCGCAGAACGAAGTCAGTGTGAGATCTTCAACTCATCTGTACGGCTTTGTCACCTTTAAGAACCGTGAAATGCTCGTTTGCATAACTCATGCGCTTTATTTTCCCTCATAAGGGTATGGCCTTGAATGCGCTTTCCTCTGCCCTGCCTCGCATCGAAAAAACTTTTAGCTCTTCGCTTTAACAGACCAAATGACTGCCGCCAGTATTTGAGTATTTCTTACTCTTTTCACTGTTATCTGATTTGTGAGATAAACTGCAAATGATGGCATGCCTCAAATTCTAGATGCAAGAGAGATCAAAAGCTGATGGTCGATCTGCTTATGCATGATGCTTCAGGAGCACTTTGTCTTCTTGCTCCAAGCTTTCGGGAGTAGTTCGCTGGACTTGAGCTTTGCTTTGGATCTGATGACACGAGGGACCAAAGCTATTCCTTTCAAAACGCTTTCTTGACTTTGTTTGATCGAGAAATTCGGAGAGGTAAGGGAGATATGAGTTGATTAGAACTCCCTAACACTGCTCTATCTTGGTGTCAAACTCACATCGCATGTGTCTTAAGTAATGGCATCTCTTTTATTAGTATTTTGTTTCGCTTTATTCTAAGGTATCACTTCAATTGGTCGTGCGAGGTATATTTGTAGACTATTTGCAAATCTAGCATATGTCTGGTGAATATTCATTTGCTTTGTAAAAGGATCGGTTGACTATTAGGCGTCGCTGAGTCATTCCCGACGTCTGTCGCTCGAATGCCAGGTTGTGCTGTCTCTGGAAATGCTATGACAGCTGCTGTTTATGGTGGTGGAAGGTCTAAGGATCTGGCGCTTCTATTGGGTGAGATGCATCGTACTGCTTTATCAAACACGATGAGTACTGGAAAGGTTGATGCGAGTAGACTGTTGTGATAATTCGAACTAGGAGATGCATAAGGCTGACAGTTTGTAGGCGCGCTTGCTAAGAGTGCAAACTGCGATTGCAGTTGGGTTAGTAGTTTTACCGATGTTGATGTAGTGTGGAATCAAGCAAATTCACGATGTAGATGGTCGCTTCTAAAGTAGAAGCAAAATGAAGCACTCGATACTGTCAATTTAATTTCAAAGTTATTGTCTACAATTTTAGTACTCATTTTACCAGGTATTCACTTTTCGATAAAGCAAAATCAGGTATGTAATCATTATGAGAGGCCTATTTGTAAAAGACCTCTTTTCCAGTCTCATTTAAACGCTTGGGAGATTTTGAATCATAGATCTTATCGTTTTTGCAGACTTGGTGTATTTACGAGTCAGCAGCCGTGAATTTCACTATTCGCTATTTATCGTTGTCATTTATGTCTTGGTAATGCTCTTCTCCAATGCTCTCTATTTATCTTTTGCATGGAATCGTTTTCAGTCGGAATGAAGTACTTACATTTTGTTAAGTATCGTAAATCTATTTTAATCTGCTGTAATCTAAACTCATTGTTTTACAGCCAAATGAAATGGTTTTCCACTTGTAACGTTAGGACGATTCATAGTCATCACGAAGCCTGTGTGATTGGACTAAAACTGCTGTCGCCTTCTCAACTGTTAGGAACGCTGTCGGAGAGTTACGATGAATTAGGAAATCGATACCAGCTTCCCCTTTTCGTTCTTTCCCAACCTACCAACCTGGAACCCGACCCCAGCGGGGTAGGAAGCTCCGGTGATCAGATTCTTCCCTCTTCTTACGCCTCTACCGTTCCCACCGGTGCCACCTCCGCCACACGCCTCGACGTCACAGGCGATGACGAAGACGATGAGGGCGTAACTGTTGTCAGCCTCCTCTCGCCTCACGCTCCTACAACTTCCACCACGCCTATTGTCACCGCTTCTGCTGTTCCCACTGAGGCATTATCCGCTTCCCCCTCCTCCTCCTCCAGGAGTGCATTCCACCCCTTTCGTCGGCTTTTTCACCCCCATCGACGGAGGGCGCACTCATCGAGCAAAAAGATGCGTCGAAAATACGGCGGTCGATGCTCCTCCCGCTCTGCTCTCCTCTCTTCTCCCTCTATCACCCCATTATCCTCCACTTCTGCAGCCTCGCGACCTTTCGACCTTCGAATGCGTCTCTCCACTGGTGATGAGTACTCCCTACCTGTAACAAGCAACCAGTCGGTGCTGGAGGCGAAGCGGCGTCTTGCTACGCTGATTGGCTGGCCGCCCGATCGACAGCGGTGGTATTGCGGTGGAGTGGCGCTGCGCGATGCACTCCGCATCGCCGACTGCCCTCCGAGCATAGCTCCGCCCTTAAGCTTCGTGGTACAGGTGGTAGTTCATTCGCCTTTAGAGCCGGAGTCTACGTGGGCTCACCAAAATCGTTTGAAAGACTAGGCGTGTGAAGCGTGTCACGCCATTTCTCCTTGCGTGTATGGGAGCGCTGGTGTTGCATTTAGAGCACCCTAGGAGGTGGACATGTTGTCGGTTCCTTTTATCATCAAATCTATTAATATTACTATTTTTTCTTTCTCTCCTAATCTATTACTGTTATGACATTTTCTTTCCTTGTTTCCTCTGATGCGCTTCACTTTAAAAGGGTAAGGAGCTTCCTTCAAAGCTTGGGCGTGGAGTCTTATTTGCTCATCCTTGAAAGCATACTCACAAAGAATTCGAACAGAATATTGCTCCTACAATCAATAATGGAAGCAGGAATTCTGCCAATGTAGCTCTGCGCGAAATAACGAGCATCACTTAGGTTATTTGTTAGTCTCTATGTAACCTGTCAGATGCTGTCGAGTGACACTTCAAATTTCAACTGTTTCAGATCTTGTGAGGCAAGTCAAGAATGGGAAGCGTGTGACTAGGTTCAATGGCTCTTCGCATTTTGTTGAATTTGGAAGAGTTCTATGGTTAATACTAATCCGTGCAGTTTTGGTAAAGCAGCAAGGACAAAGTGGGGTTCTCTGATATTGGTGTGCAGCAGTACCTAATGTTGGTTATATAAGATGGCAGTAAAGCTTTATGAGGAGGCAGCTGAATCCGGTAGGTGGCAGTAATCCTTGATAATGGAAGACTTACGGTGGTTTGACCCTTGTCTCATCTCCATTTGGCACTGGTGAAGGGTCCCATCCCCGTCTCTCGAAACATCTCTAGGCTTCCGACACTTCGCACAACTAACAAGCCGATAACCCCACAGAGACAGGGGCAGTGCATACCCTATCTTTTGTCTACCCATCATTTCCATGTTTCCAAACTGACCAAATTAAGGACTTGCTCACGATCGAAACCCTATCGTGTTCTACAGAGAATTGGGCTACATGACCGCTTTACTCAATGAATATTTCTTCATTTATGGTGTCTTACGGCAGTGTGGTTGGCCTTCTGTTACGATTCGAGATTGCGTAGTTGAACCATCTTAAAGTACTATAATCATTGAGGCCTTCATGTGTATTTGAATCGTTTGTAGTGCCAAATGATTGTCACCATACAGCGGAATCGTTTCTGGTTAAAAAAATCAACGCAATAGCCTCGAAGTTCGCGCAATCAAATCTGACATTTCAATGGGATAAATGCTTAAATTACTTCATTTAAGGCTTCTGAGTTCATGTAGTCTTGCACACAACTACTTAATGATGATCAGCATGATTATTTCAAGGTAATTGCATTTTATGAATGGTCTGGGCTTCTAACTTGAGGCGATTGTCTCACTATGCTCAGCATCTGATTTCACGAATCTGCACGAATGGCATACTCAGTTCACAATATTTTGTGTCCAATCTCACTCCTGCATAAAGTCATGAAGTCGCGTACTTTTTGGATCTTTCTGCTTACCGTGTTTTGTGTTCTTCTTCTCTTTCAACTCGTTTTGCTTTCAATAACTAAAGTAAGTCCTCCTATATGACTGATAGCAATGCAGCATAATTTGTTTGAAGATGAAATGGAGACCGCACAGACTTCCCTTGATGCGGTATTGTTTCAAAGTCTCAATAGCGAAGTCGTTTTAAGCTCCAAGTCAGGTTTCGGTGCCTCGAACGTTTTTCCAAGTACCTTCATAATATCAAAGTATTTTTGCGGCCTTCCAGTCCCTAAGGATATTGAAGGTGAACATTTAGAGGATGTGAACTGCAATTTTCCTCGCCGGATTTAATTATCACTTGATACGCCTTTAGGGGCGCAAGGTAAAGCGGACGTCGTTGGAGCTATCATCCTCTTAAGGGGTGGATTCTATCCCAGCGTTCCAACTTACTACTACTCTGTATTTTCCGATCAAAATACCACCGTTTCTCCAGTTGATTATAACATCTACGCGTCAACGTTTTGTGCAAAGCAGTTGATCTCGAAGTTGTCGAATCCCATGCTTTCGCGATATATGGCATTTCTAGAGGTGCGCTAATTTTGTATTTTACTAGTCTTCCTCCGGCCAACCTTTCTTTTGGCCGTGATGTGGGGAAATTGTGCGTCCATATCAATTTTAAAATGCCTATTTTTACGCTTGTGAGTCGGCTTTGTGTTGTTTAGACTTCCTATTGAAAACCTGGCTTTTATGCAAAGTTTTGTTTTCTCAGAGGTTTTTACTGTCATCTGCTGTCTTAAGGGCTCTAATTCCTTTCTGGGTCTCGATTCTGTAGGAGCACACAGGGCCTCGCTTGAATTTCAGATACCAAGTCTCTGTGAAACTGGATGCATTAATTTCGATACGTCTAATTCGCCATGTAACATTGCTATCGAACGTACTACCCTTCCTTCAATTTTTATTCACTAGCTTAACTCTGGTCGATTATTTAATCCGTGACTAACTTTTGGATTGCCGCTTCTTTACCTCACTCTGGTCGTAGCAGAATAAATCGCGTTGGCTCGCCTGGGGATTATTTTGTAAATTAAGAATGACATCGTTTTGAACTTGCCACTTTTTAAAATATACTTGTCTTTTTAGCTCAAGAGACGTTCTACTGAAACTTTTGGTTATTTATTTAATTTAGCGCAGACAGCAGTCTAGTTTGGTTACCAATTTGTTGAAATCAAAGCACAGACCGAATGCCGCTGTGTAGTGTGGAGATTTTGTTAAACTTTGTAATTTTGTATCCATTTCAATATCTAGTTATTTTGAGCTGCTTTTAGCGACCCAATTCAGGGCAAACAATCTGTGGTCTTATCCCTTTCCTCCACTAAGTTTTTTTGGCGTATGCATCGTTGAATAAGTTTTCAATAAATCCACTCTCTAGCCTCTTATTTGCATGTAATCCACAACGTGGTCGGCACCTTTTATCAGTTATGGTTTTACACATCTTGAAGTGTTTTTTATCACTTTGATGTTTTGGTTTCGGCTCTCTTATTTCCTTTAGACTTTAAGGCTTAGCTATTTGTCTGAAGAAAATTGCGGATTGAGTTGGCTCAGTAATATTAAATGTGCCATGGCTTTCCAAGTTCAGGCTCTATTACGGCTTGTTCAGATTTCTTAACTAGTTCTATAATTAAGTTGACGCGACAAATAAACGTTTTTGTCCAAGGTATTAACGTGTAGGTAGGGTGATAAGTAAATAGTGCATTTACCGAGGGTTTGGAAACCTGGTAAGATGCGGTAAAATCAGAAATCGCGTTTATTAGTACTTGGTCGATCGGTATAGCATTAGGGTAAAGTTCCGAGTCCATTTAGTTTAACTCGGTCGGTTATGTTTAAGTGATATTCAACAAACGGGGTATAACCCCTTCATTTGGCCATTTGCAGCTTCTCCGGCCTATACTTTCGTCTAATTGCTCCCATTTTTCCCCATGTACATTTGGTCAAAGCTCACATAGCTTTTGCTAATGCTGTTTTTAAGTGAACAGCTTTTTGAATCCTCCCTTCTAGCGTGCTGTGTCGGTTCCTCTCTCTCCCGCCGACAAGATCGCTTCCCACGGGTCTAGCTTTTGCGAATCTCGCACATTCGCTGGCGATTCTATGGTTCACTCTCTGGTGCGTGCTTTTGCGGTGGCCAATCAGGTGGCCACTGCCTACGCGAATCTTGCCGCCAGTCTCGAAGGAGCTGATGTGCGCCTTTTTACCGCTCCTAATACTGCGCAGTCACGGCTGGAGGCTCTTGCCATATACACCGCTTTACTGACCACTTGGGCGGGCAATGACGAGACTCGATTTAGGAAATACTTCAAGGAAAGTGATTGGTTCCGCTTTCCAGTTATATTTCTTCATTTTGCATTGGTTAGCCACTTATCTCCATACTTGGAGCTGAGCGCAAATTCAAAAGTTATTTGGACCGGTGCTGTCTGTTTAATTTGGCAACAGTGTCTCCTATACTACCTAGTGCACAGTGACTGCCGAATTGGATATCTTTTTGAATTATCATTCCTTGCTCCCTTAGAATCATTTGTGGCGAACTGTTAACTGGGAATCTTTTGGATGCCTTTTAAGTTTTTATGCCACTCAAACACTCTATTCGGTTCGAGCATCCTACCAGCTTACTGTCCCATGCTTGAAATCTAAAAGCATGGCCATCCGAGGTTTTGTGTAGGTTCTGCTGATGCACACATGCAATAGCATCGACGTCTGTCGCTACGATTGGCGGTGGCTGGGATAACAGATTTGA